CTTGGAGTTACATAAGTACGTATTTTTGTTAGCCAGACAGTGACACAAATGTTGGTGTGGTTTAATGCTTGTTTTATTTATTTCCGAAGCTTCCATTTTTTGAGACATGTAGCAGAAGCTACACAATGGTGCAGTCATTTGTACAGGTTTCTGGGACTTTGCTATCAAAATTCCCAAAAGTTTTATTTTCCTACATGCCCCTCTTTTGAAGTTAATAAATATACTTTGTATGCAATATAGATTCTCCCCCCTTTTACCCTAAGCTAAGAAAATATGTTAAATAGATTGCAAAAGGAATAAAAATTTCCATCTTAACAATATATTCTGAGACAGAAAAAGAGGCGCATTTTGGTGGAAAACCTCAAGTAATAGGCTCTTGGGTTTTAAATGTAAATGCTACAGGGACATCACTGCTGTACACATTGTATCAGTGATCCAAAAAGCCACTAAGTGGCCGGGCGCGGTGGCTCACGCCTGTAATCCTAGCTCTTGGGAGGCCGAGGCGGGCGGATTGCTCAAGGTCAGGAGTTCAAAACCAGCCTGAGCAAGAGCGAGACCCCGTCTCTACTATAAATAGAAAGAAATCAATTGGCCAACTGATATATATATTAAAAAAAATTAGCCGGGCATGGTGGCTCATGCCTGTAGTCCCAGCTACTCGGGAGGCTGAGGCAGAAGGATCGCTCAAGCCTAGGAGTTTGAGGTTGCTGTGAGCTAGGCTGACGCCACGGCACTCACTCTAGCCTGGACAAAAAAGTGAGACTCTGTCTCAAAAAAAAAAAAAAAAAAAAATTAAAAAAAAAATAGAATTAAAAGATAAAAATAAAATATATAAACTTAAAAAAAAAAAACAAAAAGCCACTAAGTGTGAAATAAACAATTTTGTCTAAAAAATATGAAATAGAACACACCAGAATGTTGGCATTTGAAGGTCAAATTACTTTAAGACCAGGGAGTGGATGACTGGGACTATCTCCGATAAGCTGGCAGGTGTGTAAGTAATGCACTGAGCCACTTCTAAGGAGGTGTTGTGCTTGCCAAATATTGTCCCCAACATATATCTTGCCCTCAAACACTTTGTCCAGATGCCTTCCATGTATTGATTTATGACTTTACCTGTATGTAATTCCTGTCTCCCTGAAAGAACACACTGTAACCCAACCACAGCGAGTCGGCTTGCTCAAGGCTTCTTGGGCATAGCTCCAGGTCATGGTCCTCAAATTTGGCTCAGAATAAACCTCTTTGAATTATAAAAATAAAAACAAAAACAAAAAACACTTTGCCCAGTGACATGGCAAAGTTCAGTGTAGAGTATTGGAATTTTACTCATTTATGCTCTAGTTCTTTTCAAAAGATTGAATAGCTACAATAAAATTGACGATTACGTTCTAATCTTACTCCTTCTGCTTCTGTGACACTGGATCTAATGAGCACGTTTTCCTTACCTGTAAGAGGGTGGTGCAGTGTAGACCGCCTGACCCATTCAGACTGCTCTGGCCAGCCGACAGACATGGACAACATGTGAATTGTAAAATGTTCAACCCACGAGAGGGATGACGGAGGGCCTAGATATCTTGTGGGATTTTACTCAGTAGTATCTGAGGACTGTGTCATTCATTGTTGGGCTCTACTAGAAGACTGAGGAGTTGTAGTGACTCGTCCTTCCCGAGCCGACCAGCATCCAGCGTGGGAAACGGTGCTTCTGAGAGTCTAGCGCAGCCCGCAGTGTCTTCAACGTCCAACTCAAACTGCCCCGGACAAGACGGAAAAGAAACCAGAAGCATAGTTTGATTTTAAATCAAAAGTTATGACTTTATTTTTAATTTTTATACACCAGGAAAAAAAAATATTTCCTTTAATGTGTGAAATAAGCATTTAAAAATAACAATTCCTCAGATTTCTCATTCAGAAAAAAAAAAAAAATAAAAAAAAAATAACAATTCCAACACTGCTGTGATTTGCTCTGAGGCGGGTATGTGTGGGCTGCCAGTGAAAAAAAAAAATAACAATTCCAACACTGCTGTGATTTGCTCTGAGGCGGGTATGTGTGGGCTGCCAGTGAATTTAGGCTCATGGGTCCCTAAGCTGAATCTTCCAGTGGGTTTCAAGGCAGCAGCAAGCGACGCCCTGCCTGAACACCCCTAGACAGGCAGGCCTGCTGGAAACGGACGCGTCTGGGGTACACCCTTAGGCTACTTCTGTAGCCTTACTGCTTTTCTGTCCACTGGGAGAAGAAGCCTCTAGTGCCACCGAGCATTGGGAAAATAACAGCATTTAAATATGTCACGAGTCAGGCCTTTCAATTATGGCCCAAATGGGTTGCAAATGGGGCTTGACCCTGACTAACGGGGGTCCCTTTCTTTCACGTGACCGGTCACTTCCGGAGGAGTTTCCCATAGTGCACTCGTGGGTTAGGACTTCCGGCGGAAGCCCCGCCTCAAGTCACAGTGCCACGGTCAGGACATCCCGAACCCGCTCACGGGTGTGTTCCCGCCATCTGTCTCGCGGCTGGCACAACTTCTGTCACCGACGTGTCATTCAGGAGGGAGGGAAGCCCGGGGACGCCCTGCCTTTTCTGCGAGCCCCGAATGGGCAGAGTATCTGAGGACGAGGACAGGACCTTGGTGGTTCGGAAGGCTCGGGGGTATTCTTCGACACCTCAGCTATGGGTCCTGCCGTATGGGGCCCAGATTAAAGTGGGAGACTGACGCGACAACATTCGAGAACATTTGCTGCGACTGCGCCGAGGCTCGTTGTCCCACTGGCACGCTGAGACCCGCCACTTCATACTGATTGTCAGAGCAAAATAGGGCACAGTGGCTTCATCAGCTCCCACTTGGGTGGGTACACACGACAGGCCAGATGCTGGGCTGCGTTCTCACCCCGTCTCTCCCTGACGGCACTGGGCCTGAGGCACAAAGAATCGAGTGCACCTCACAGGGACACAAGAGCAGCTTCAAAGCGCTGCGGGAGACGGAGACTCCCAGCACGAGCACAGGGCTCTACTATCACCCCAAACTGACAGCAAAATATTCATTATTGAAAACAAAGAAAGACACTTCATTTGACTACTGGAAAGCTCTGGGCTTTCATCATGAAATTCTGACACAATGTTACTTTTCTGGATAGAAATGTTTTCAGGGAAATTGAGAGATGGGCATGGGCCACACACATAACTCAAAGCTCAGAACTGAGGGAAGCAAAGTCTATTTGTTCTTTTCCACTCGCCTAACTGCTCTCTTGAGTCAGCACTTGGCGAATCCAACAACTCTGTTAGAGAATTATTACCCAAACTGGGAAAAAAAGCCCTCAGGTGTGTAACTGGCTGTTGTGTGACACATACAGTCTGAGGGAGGCTGTTCTTTTCAGAGTAAAGAACAGATAGTAACCTGAGCATGTTGCTTCTCCCAGGTAATTAAACAGTCTGGGAATATGGCTAGACTTCTGGAACATTCTACTCCAGTGTGGCAGACTCCAGGGGCTGTGGTACTATGATGTGACAGGCTTTACCTTACAAAGATACTCATCTGATTTTTTTTCTTCATTCTGTTTTAAATTCTGTTGGTCTCTTTTCTAGAAGTGTTCTCCTAAGTCCCTACTGCCTTTCCATTAGATTCTACAAAAACCTACTTGGTCCAGATCCGTTAGTCTCTGCAGAAAAATAAAAAAGGTGTGGAGAAGTCAGGGGACGTATCAAGCCTTTCCTCCCACTCTAAGCAATACGTATGTAATATATTCTCATCCCCACCCTTATTTTTGTAGAGCAGTATGATTAGAAGGACGGGAGTAAATTACATGGAATAATAACCTAGTTGATGATTAATTTGGTACTTTGACCTGGCATTGGATATGAATATAGTAGCTACTCCTTTCTCATAAGGAAAAATAGAAGGTCCAGATAAGCCCCCGTGCTGTATGAATATAGCATTTCTCCCTGGAATTTCATTGCAAACTCCTGGACTTGGGTTGATGCTCAGACCTAGTGTATGAACTTATGTGTATGTAAGTGTATATAAACATTCTTATATATGTAGAGAGACAGACAGACAGACAGAGACATATGTATAAAATCAAGAATTTGGGTTTTTTTCTTTTAATCAATCCAAGAGTGATGTTTTCACCATAATGGGATTGGAACGCAGTGGAAAATCTTCAATAGAAAGACAATCTGTTGCAGCATAGTGGGACAGCTATAAAAAACTTGCCTGCCCAAGTTTCTCTGGAATGTTAGTTGACAGCAAGAGTGTTTTTGTGGCAGTCAGTTCTCTGGTAGGCTTCAGATTCGTCATGGGCTAGTGAGTCAGCCTCCTATCTTGATATAATTAAAGCAGCTCAGCTGTGATATTAAAAACAGTGTATTGAACCTGTAATACCAGATTTTTTTAAATATGTGGCTTGCCTGTAGATATATTTGCTAATTTAAAAACTATTTATTAGACATCCAACCTGTAAACAAAAATTTTAAATTATTTTACAAGTGAACACAAACATGAACCTAATACCAAGATGAAAGTGCTTTGGAAGCATCATTTAGAGTCTTTTTAAGGTTTATGCTCATTTTTTTATGCTAACCTGCATTAAAGGATCTATGATAAATTACGGAATTAAATAATTAAAGCAACCAGATGAGTCTCTAATGGGTCCTTCAATTAAACTCAAGTTAACTGTTATGTGGCCTTTTCCTCATTTTAATGACTTATTTTCTGTTATGAGGGGGAAAAGACTTATTGCACAGTATCACTTATTTGCAAAGCTCAAAATAACATTATTCGTATCCTAAAAATCTATTAGTTGTAATAGCAAGACCTATCTTTCCAGCTCACATCAGTTTTTGCCCAAATAATAATACATTCCTCCATCAGTTGTGTCTCATCTATGAAGTGAGGTCAAGACATCATAGACTATACACAATAATTTAACACAAATGTTAACAGCTCCCCTCCCCAGTTATTCCAGCCATGACGTGGTTTCCACAAGATTCTTCGTTCATTTTCCAACCATTCACACAGAATGGAATAAAACTTTATTCTTTTTAAATTCGACACATAAACGAGATGCTGGAAAAGCCCTTGCCATCTCTGACAGAAAAGCAGAGCAGCTCTGTTTCATGAATGACAGCACAATTAAAGCTAAAACAATATAAAAATAATTTGAAAAATCCCTTTTACTGTACACTCTCAAATAAAGCAAGAAAGATAAACAAGTTTCTTTTTCTGCTAGCCAGAAAAATGTTTCTATTCATTTGGGATCTGAAGTTCAGTGTTTCCCACATCTGTGTGTGCATTTGTGTGTGGCTATGTGTGCATGTCTATGCTGTGGAACAGCCCTAATCTCTCATCTAGTTTGCCTAATCATTAAGCTACTTAACCAATTATAATATTAATACTATTATGTCACATTGAACAACTTTACAGAGTTGTGTCTTTGAAATACTAGGAACATTGACACATGTATTTGGCTTGTAAAGGACTGAAATATTACAGATAATATGACCTAGCTTTTTGTTTTTTTAAAAGAATATGGCTCTTAATAAATTGGTATTTGAGTTCCAGAGCGAAAGTCCCTTTTAAAAAATTTCTGAAGCTGACTTGAAGCAGGATGGATATCTTCTGATTTGGCTAAAGTAAGTATGACAAGTATGTTATGTCATTTAAAATTTGGGGTGGGGGTAAGTCTATAGGGGGCCTTTTGTTGTCAACTGTTTTCAGCCAAACTTGCCATGAGTGTTGGATGAAGTATCTCCACTCAGCCAGCAGAGGGCACTTCAAACACCTCCGCATTGCTCGGCAGCACATGCAGACGATGCGGAAACACAGTGTTCACCCAGTGTCAGGAGTCCTGCAGTTTCTTTTTGAAATTCACAAAAATATAGAAAATATACTATCCTACAGGGTTTCATTTGGAAAGTTAGGAGTATGTGTGAAGTTGATAGGGAGGGGTGTACGTCTCGTCTACGGACGTGATGGGCGGCTCACCTGTCTTCCCAGTTTCCCTGTCCCAGCTCAGCGGTTGGTATTGGGCTGGGCCTCTTTCAGGTCGTACAGAATCCATTTCCAAATCATTTGGTTGCGTTTTTTTATCTTTTTGATTCTGTATTTACTCTTCTGTTCAAAAGCCTGCGGCAACTGAACAAAAGGATAATTCTTCCTATCTCGTTGCAAGCTAGAAATCACAGTCGCACTGTCGGCAGTGCTCTGGGACCTGGGCCGCACTGTTCCCATCCTCCCAGGAAGACCCTTGGGAGACGACTGTGCCCCGTTTGGTTTGGCAAACTCACCAGCCTGAAGCTATGCAGTGAATATTCATCTCTTTTTTTAGTTGAAATATAATTGTTTACATCTGTTTTCATAAGGGATGATTAAGACATCTATTCTCATGGGGCTACAACAACTAACCTTTCTTAAAAAGGCCTTAATTTCTGCAAAAGCGTTATTGTTTTAGACACACCCCCTGTATCTCTTTCATTTTTATCTTTTCTGTTGGCTGCAGTTTGGTGTCAGTGAAGATCAGAAAGGACTGTGTGTGTATGTGCTCCCATTTTTTAAAAAATAAAATTCGTTCATCCTTAGAGAAATATAACACTCAGTAGAGACATCCTTTGCTATCGTGTTAACAGCCTTCGCTTGCCTGCCATTCTCTCTCTGCCTCTGGCTCCTGCTTGTTCTCCTCCGTCCTAGAGTTGACAGGTAAAGAGGATGTGGTCTCCCAGCAGCAGTGCTTTGAGATGGAGGTGCACTCAGTGAGTCCTCACCCGAAAAGGATCATAAACTTACTGGGTTAAGTCAACCTAATTATCCCTAAGCTGCCTTGGGTTTGTGTCTGCTCCTGTGTTTTGTTTTGTTTTGTTTTAGCTGCACCATATGTGATTCCTTGTGCCATTTTCTTTTGTCTATTGTTTTTCTTGATGACCCTGAGCTATGGCTTTCCTCCTCAGTTCCAACACTATTCAGCCTTCGCTGTCTTCCTCATCTTGCCGATGTAGGCCTCAAAGAAGAAATGGCAGAAGAGCACAAGGTAGCTGAGGTACATGAGTGAGGACCAGAAGATGTTCTGAAAGTGAGAGTGACACTGGTCATGCTGCATCCAGTAGAAGACCAGGTAGTTAATGACACAGCCCATCAGCATTTGGGTGATCTGGGACAAGGTGATGAACATGGCGAACTTCCGGGAGACGCGGAAACCCGCCGCCCGCAAGGCGTAGTACGAGTACATCACGGCGTGCACGCCGTAGTTCATGGTCATGAACCAGCCTCCCCCGGCGACCATGTCTTTGTAGGAGTACCAGGAGTACAGGAGCACAGTGATGTGGTGGTACCAGTGCAGGAAGATCAGCTTCTGCTTCCTCAGAATGATGAATATCGTATCTCCTGCAAGACAAAGAAGGGAAAGAACATTCATGAGCCCTTGACCGCAACAGAACGCCAATCTATCATTTTGCAGGAGGGCAGGCATCTTGAGCTCGAGCCGGAGAGTCAGACGGACTGGATCAGGATCCAAAACTGGCAGTTACTAGCTCTGTGACCTTGGCCAAGTTATTTAACCTCAGTATTTTCTAGTTTCCTCATCTACAAGATGGGGATAATTAATAATAGTAACTTGGAATTCTCTGAGGATTAAGCAGGACAATCAACATGCCCTCTTCACATGTGGTAGGCAAGCAACAAATGTTTCGGACTTTACACAAAATCCTACTAATTAATTACAGATCTGGAAGGGAGATTGTCCGAGATTGTCCGGACAACAAGATTGTCCAATCCCCAAGGTGACTTGTCTCAGGTCATTTATGAATCAAAAGAAACAGACTGGAACTCAGGTCCCTGGCAGGGGCTCTCGGGCCTCTCTCGAATAGTAAAACCATAATTTTTCTTTGGCATACGATGAAAGGTACCACACTCCTTGAATATATACCTTTGTGAGCTCCCTTAAAATGACGAAACCTTGCCAGATGGCAGTGAGAAAAGTAAAATTTGAACAAAAGGCGAAGACAGAAGAAAGGGGAACAAAAGCCATCTCCCATACACATCTGCAGACGAGGGTACTAGGCGTATCTTATGCCAATGAAATAAATGAGGAAAGAGAAAACACTGAAAATATTAGTTTTCATTTTATGGAACTGTGAGAAAGCTTTCCAGGCTGTATTGAGCATTTTTCTAGCAAAAACCCTTTGAAGAAAAAGTCCTGTGTCTGAGGCAGGGAGTCTGCATCATAGAAGCTGGACTCACGCCCTGGTAGGTTGGTGCTGGGTAACCGTTCTCTGAGAAGTCTAGGGACTCTGAAAAATACACTGTAGAACATGCATATAGAAATGGACAGGCCGGGCGCGGTGGCTCACGCCTGTAACCCTAGCTCTCTGGGAGGACGAGGCAGGAGAATCATTCAAGGTCAGGAGTTCAAAACCAGCCTGAGCAAGAGTGAGACCCCATCTCTACTAAAAACAGAAAGAAATTTTAATTGGCCAACTAATATATATAGAAAAAATTAGCATGGTGGCATGGGCATGGTGGCACATGCCTGTAGCTACTTGGGAGGCTGAGGCAGGAGGATCACTTGAGCCCAGGAGATTAAGGTTGCTGTGACCTAGGCTGATGCCACGGCACTCACTCTAGCCTGGGCAACAGAGTGAGACTCTGTCTCAAAAAAAAAAAAAAAAAAATAGAAATGGATAAAGAACAAACCCAATGAAAAAGCCCCTTGGCTGGGCACGGTGGCTCACACCTGTAATCCTAGCACTCTGGGAGGCCGGGGCGGGAGGATTGTTCAAGGTCAGGAGTTTGAAACCAGACTGAGCAAGAGCGAGGCCCCGTCTCTACTAAAAATAGAAAGAAATTAATTGGCCAACTAAATATATATAGAGAAAAAATTAGCTGGGCATGGTGGCGTGTGCCTGTAGTCCCAGCTACTTGGGAGGCTGAAGCAGGAGGATCTTTTTAGCCCAGGAGTTGGAGGCTGCAGTGAGCTGTGATGACCTCACAACACTCCACCCAGGGGACAGAGGAGACTCTTCTCAAAAAAAAATAATAATAATAATCAAATGATTTGAATTCACTTAAGGATGTTTTTCAGAACAAATATGCAGGATGATAGGTGAAGTAATGAAGAGATGAGTATCTCTCAATAATGGCGTGGAGCTGGTCAGAGGCATCATTCCACTCCTAAAGCCCTATCAAGGTTACCGACCACAGACTACTGACCCAAAGAATGGTGGTCCCACTCGGGCGAGGGGCCAGTGGTGGGGCGCCAGAAGAGCTAACCGAGGCCTTGTGTGGCCTCCATACTGCAGCTGAGACCCATGAGCTGCACCACGTTGCCAGGTATAAATTACTTTTTCTCTGGGGAAACCACAGATCACGTTTAATTTGCCATGAGCAAGAGTCCTGCTGAGTCATGGTACTTACAGGTTTCCAGAAGCTACCGAGTGATCCAGAAACGTACGCTACCCTAGGGACTGTGTGTTTGTGTCGGGCAACCAAGCTTTCTCGGTCAATGTCCTCCTGGTATTATGGAAATGAATCTCCCCAATTATAAGCAATGGGTCTTTTGACTCTTGAACGTTTCCTCCGTGTCACCTATTTTAGCTACTTTCTGGTTCATGTTCTCTTTACCTTGACCTCTCTAAACTTTGGTTCAGCTGTGATCAGTCCGGAGACAGCTTGCAGCAGGGCACGGTGTAGATTGTACCTAACTGTCCCTCCTGAGCTATCCTTTCCACCCCTGCACCTGGAAAGCACAGGCTGCTTTCCAGCGACGGGGAAATTGCTCAGCATCTGCAAATCCCCAGGGGACTCTCGGCCACCAAGAGGAACGGAAAGCCTACTCTGTGTGTGCGGTCTGTCACAGAAGGCCGAGTTCCTCTTGGCAGAGCTAGCTGGAGTGCTGCTGAGTCAGAGTTTCAAACACAATGACATGCTCAACTGAGCAAGGACCTAGGCTCAGAACAGATGTTTCCAAGTTTTAACAAAACCAAATCTCAGCAGGTTTTAATAAAATGCAAACAGAAGGTGCTCAAAGATTTGGCACGCACAGCAGGTGGGTGGATCTCTTCCTCTCAGTTGTTCTAATAAATTGTAACCCTATAATTCACTGAAATGAGCTCAGTTTTCTGCTGAAACAGCAAGCTCTTCTTGCTAAATAGAGTTTAGTGAAGAAGCTAGTGTTGAATGGAGACAGGGTTTCAATTGGGGAAGATGCAAAAGTTCTGGAAATCGATGATGTGATAGTTGCACAAGAATGTGAATATTACGTATATTCTACTACAATTTAAAAACAAAATTTAATGAAAACTGTATGCATGTAGGTTTTGGGGAGAAAATACATTTTCAGTACTGAATGTGGAAGAACCATTCTTTTTTCTCATGAGATATTTTCCCTTTGATGTTCATAAGGCAGAACTTGTGACCTAAAAGTAAGAAAAGTTCTAAATAATCCCCATGGATAAATCTTTCTTAATTACATGGTAGCCACAAGGTTTGCTAACTGCAAAACACTGGGAAGGGATTTAAACCTCCAAAATGCATGAAAAAATGCATCCAAGCAAACATGTTCAATAATTAAGCGCCAGGGGCTGGCTGTCGTAGACTCTTGTGCTGAGTTTTGGATGTTTTGACTCAGCAGTTTAGCCCTGAAAGGCCATTGTCCAGGGAGCTCCAAGATAGTCAAAGGATGGTATTTCATATTTTAAAATTTAAAAAAAGATTCTCGAACATAAATGACCTCTATCAAGGACCTGAGGCCGGATGTGGTATCTCACGCCTATAATCCTAGCACTCTGGGAGGCTGAGGCGGGTGGATCGTTTGAGCTCAGGAGTTCGAGACCAGCCTGAGCAAGAAGCAAGACCCCATCTCTACTAAAAAATAAAAAGAAATTAGCTGGACAACTAAAAATATATAGAAAAAATAAACCGGGCATGGTGGTACATGCCTATAGTCACAGCTACCCAGGAGGCTGAGGCAGGAGGATCACTTGAGCCTAGGAGTTTGAGGTTGTCGTGAGCAAGGCTGACGCCTTGGCACTCTACCCCGGGCAACAGAGTGAGACTCTGTCTCAAAAAATAAATAAATAAATAATAAAAAAAATATATATTTTCATAGAATTTTACAATTCCTGAAAATACCTCTTCAGATTTCCAGGCATTGTCTGTAGATCCAAGAGGGAAAAATATTTCTCTAGCCTATGACTTTGTACCTAGAGATCCCAATATGAGTATTAATAAAAATAGCCTTTGCAGGTCTGGTTCATAAAATGTATATTATTATTATTATTATTTTAGAAAAAGTAGCCATTCTATTCCAACTCCCATTAAATGTCTTGTCCACAGTGGGTACTTAATGTAAATTTATTGAATGAATGAATGAATCCACACTAATGCATTGCATTCTAAGACTATTTTCGTAGGTTCTGTGTATGCCCGCAATAGTTATCTAGTTATTGTGAATTATGTAGAGGACCTATCTTTGTACCTCTGCCCCTCTTTCTGAAAAGTTTTCAAAAATTTTTTCTCCTACTGCTCTTCCCTTGTCTTTGACCTGGTAATGGTAAGACAATAGTCAAGCGCATAGATCAAACCAATTGCCAGCTACTATTAGCATCAAGTGGAAGGCGGCTCGGTTGCTGACCCACACACCGAGACCCCTTGTCCTATATGCGTAGACACGGGGCACGGACTAGGGGCACCTTACAAAGACTGCTCATAGCTTATATTGTAGGAGGCTTGTAATGAAATTACAGCCTCTAACCCCTTTTTAGGGAAACAGGAGAAAAAATAATAAATATCTTTTGAGCTAAATACATATTAATACAATTCTTAATTACAGGTAAAAAAAAAAAAAATTAAGAAACCCAGTGGGTAGTCAGGTTTTACCTAAGAATACATACCAGTCTGTGAGGTGGTAGCTACCATTACTCATGGATGCACTCAGAGATTAGTCATCAGCAGCTACCTTTCTTTTTTTTTTTGAGACAGAGTGTCGCTTTGTTGCCCAGGCTAGAGTGAGTGCTGTGGCGTCAGCCTAGCTCACAGCAACCTCAAACTCCTGGGCTCAAGCGATCCTCCTGCCTCAGCCTCCCGAGTAGCTGGGACTACAGGCATGCGCCACCATGCCCAGCTAATTTTATATATATATTAGTTGGCCAATTAATTTCTTTCTATTTATAGTAGAGACGGGGTCTTGCTCTTGCTCAGGCTGGTTTCAAACTCCTGACCTCGAGCAATCCGCCTGCCTCAGTCTCCCAGAGTGCTAGGAAGCAGCTACCTTTCTTTGGCAATAAAGACATTTTCTTGGAGAATTGTGCCCATATCAAATCCTTGCCAGCTAATTTTTCACTGTTTCTGCTAACCTACACCACATTTACATTCAAGACCATTAAAGAGTTGAAAGAAAAAGCACAGACATCTACAAATATAGCCAGTATTTTCTATTAATTTCTAGAAGGTGAACTATTAATACCTTCCCCTTCCAAAACCAGTCTCATTGATTTTGAAAATCAAACAACCCCAGAAATCAGCCCTTAGCATTTGTTGATGTGGACATGACTATACCCAAATGAAAAGCTTCATTTCCTAATCTGATTTCTAACTCGAGATGAAAGTATGCTTCCATAAGGGACTTGGAAATAGCTATGTTGCTCCCCTGCCCCATAATTTAGTATTAGCTCTGTTGTTAATGGGCCTTAGAGAGGGAACTATATTTCATAAGCCCCTGGAAGTGTATTTTTAGGAGTGCTTAAAAGTCAGCATGTTCTAGTCTTTGGTCCCCAACCCCAGCCCGTGGACCAGTGACCTGCTGGAGACAGAGTCGCACAGCGGGAGGCGAGCTGCAGCAAGTGGGCGAAGACAGCCACTCCCCATCGCTCGCATGGCCGCCTGAGCTCCAGGAAACTGGTCCCTGGCACCAAAACGGTTGGGGACTGCTGTCTATGTGGACTATTTTGCCCTTAATATGTACAATTATTTAAAAGAAGGGAGACAGAGGAAATCAAAAAAGAAAGTGGAAGTCAGTTTAGAACTCAAACTCATTCATTGTTAAGTTTCCTGCAACAAACAAAATAGGATCTTCAGATTATTTGTTTCTTTGTTCACTCTTAATAAATATTATGGACATGTTGCTACAAAGAGAGGGGGAGGAAATGGAAGGAGAGAAGACACTCACCTAGTTCGGGTGCTTTGCTTAGCACAAATGCGTAAGCCCAGAATTTGCTGACAGGTCCAATGTAAAAACTCTGGTCGCAAACTGACTGCTTCAGGCCTTTGGTCATCAAAATGTACACCATATAAGCACCAGTTCGAAGAGCACCGAATATACTTTATAACAAAAAGAGAAAAGAAACAATATTTGAGAAAACAATTTCATTTCTGACATTAACCATACTTAGAAGACTGGTTGGCCGTTGGCAGGAAATAGGCATAGAAGAAGAAAAATTTGCATTTAGTTAGAAGCATCTTAAAATGTTCTGTAAACAAGAGCTAATCAAACTTCTCAAGCACTTTATCCTGAACCCAGACATGATGCCACTTACTCTTCACCAATGTTCCCAAGGAGGGGAATAGATCCAGAGCAGCCTCACGAAGAACTCTGCTATCCTTTGCGTTTCAGCTTGAAGCAACTATTCCTTAGGGGAGAGATGGGTGTGGCTGCAAACTCTAGGAAATAGCTCAGTCCTGTGCTATGTCTAGTTAGTCTCCAAGTCCCACTGGCTCTATTCCTTGAAAATCCCTGTATTGCTTTACCCTAACTCTTCCTTTACCTCTGGACTGGCCTTATCAGCCTCCTTGGGGACAAAGCCAACTCAGAGGATGGCAAAATATTTCTTCAAAATGTGACTGAGCTGCTGAATTAACCAATCTTTCAGTGACCCTATCTCAAGACTTCTTGTTCTTGAAATTAAAAAAACATTTCTTATTGCATAAGCCATTTGGAGTTTTGCTTTCTATGACTTGCTGCCCAACAAGACACAACACACAAGATCTGATTTTCAGTAGATTTTTAAACACTAGTTAACATTTTGTGCAGAAGTTCCCTCTGTGGCTATACAATGAATCCATCGTCATGGATACTGCTGGTGAGTTACTTACTGCAGTGGTTATCTGCTTTGCATAATGGTGGGGGAGATGGCAGTGACTGTTGTACAAGCCAAAAGCAAGGAAACATACACACACTCTCTGCTCATTAGCCCCAGATCTATGATTTTTCTGAACAACTGAGCATATTTTCTAAAGCATCCCCTTCCCTGCTGAGTCCAGCCCACCATATCCAGAAATCACACAGCCGAGAACCTTCCTTTGCTGCCAGACTGTGTGCTCCCATCATGATCAGAGTAGACACAAAGAAAATCCTTTTGAAATAAATGACTTGCCTTTCATCCTCCTAGATCTCAAAATCATTATAGTTTATTCCCAATTTCTAGAGTATTAACACAATTTAATTTATTATTTCAAGTGGTAAAAATTTACCTGCCTTGTTTTAGATACTGGGGTGGAAAAAGCCAATAAGCTAATTCTGGCTAGTCGGAGGGGGGTGGTCCTGGAAGGTTTCAGAGGAAGTAGCAATAGAATTAGGGGCAAACAGCCACTCACAGATTGGAAGGTGAGGGTGTGGGGAGGTCACCTGAGAGCACTGAAGGTTTTGGTATCATGATGACCTACAGTATTGCTGACAACAAGCATGTAGCACATATTATTGTCCCATATCTGGACATAAGCCTCATTCCCTAAGCTCCGAACAATAAGGCTGACTCAGAACAGAGGACAGTGGCCCTTTTCAGGGACACCGTCAGTGCCAGCCATTGGGTCCATGCGTCTGTGGGCAAAGGCACATTGTTGGGCTCTGACAATGCTGCTGGGGAGAGCAGGGGGGAGCTGCTCGGTCAGTGGGGTGATTTGTCATTTGTGGGAAGCCACCAGCTCTGCCCCAGGCACATTCCAGCCACAGAGCACTTTGAAATCAGGTGGCTTTTATTCTAATAGTGTCACACTGTGACACTTTTCCAAAATATCCTTTAAGGTGAGGAGGCATCTTCTCCTCCCTAAGTTACATCACCCTGAGAGGCAGCATGACACAGCAGGCCACCATGCGCCTTGCAGCGCTAGCCCAGCGCACGGCAGACATGCCTAATCAATCCCTGTACTCCTCCCGGCCAGGCCTGGACATTTCTTCATCCGAAATGAGGACAATAATATCTAATGTGCAAATGAGTTCTATGAATTTTATAAAGCAATGTAAGTAAGGTATTTAGATAGCACATATGCAGGTGCTCAATAAAACCATTTTTGTTATATTCTTAATCTATTACAATGTGTTATTTTTATTGCTGCTTTACTTTTTCTATTTCTAAGTGTTTTTGTTTTTTTGAGAAAGAATCTCACTTTGTTGCCCGGGCTAGAGTGCCATGGCATCAGCCTAGCTCACAGCAAACCCAAACTTCTGGGCTCAAGCGATCCTCCTGCCTCAGCCTCCCAAGTAGCTGGGACTACAGGCATGTGCCAGCATGCCCAGCTAATTTTTTCTATATTTTTAGTTGGCAAATTAATTTCTTTCTATTTTTAGTAGAGACGGGGTCTCGCTCTTGCTCAGGCTGGTCTCAAACTCCTGACCTTGAACGATCTGCCCACCTTGGCCTCCCAGAGTGCTAGGATTACAGGCGTGAGCCACCACGCTTGGCCTACTAAGTGTTGAAAATCATTTTTTTCTCTCTCATCTTATTTTGTCAGGTAAGAAAGGTTATGATTCATTATCCCTACTTGGAAAGTTGATTTACAGGGTTTTTAGTCTGATGATTGATTATTCATATTATTTCTATTGCTATGACAACTTGCACTTACATATATTTTCTTCAGAGCAATCCTGAGATTGTTCTCGGTGGGTTGACAGGGCTGAGGTTCCATGTGACGTGCTGGCCTGAGCACAGGGTCAGGGAGCCCTTCAGTGCCGTAGCATGCTGGCGAGGACCCAGTTCTTATATCCTATCTCAACTCCCACCGCCACGAAAGTTGGTCATGCGCCAACTTTTCACAATGTCAGTGACAATGTAAGCTAGCAAATTCACAAGAGGATATGAAATAAGGACTTTCCATAGACTGTCTTGACGGAGAGGCTGTCCATTTCAGAAAACATCTGGTTCATGTGAAATGTATCTTTTGATCAGATGATAAGAGTATTCTAAATCTAGAGCCTCAAACAGGCTGAGAATCTGGGCCACGGTGTTTGATGAAGATAGATGATTACCAAACCACATGCCTTTCCCTCCTATAAGGTTACGCCTGTATAAATTTTTTTTTATGTCATTTTTCTTGGCCGGGCACGGTGGCTGACACCTGTAATCCTAGCACTTTGGGAGGCTGAGGCAGGAGGATCGCTTGAGCTCAGGAGTTCAAGACCAGCCTGAGCAAGGGTGAGACCCCTATCTCTACTAAAAATAGAGAAAAAAAATTAGTAATAGCTGGGTGTGGTGGCATGCACCGGTAGTCCCAGCTACTCGGGAGGCTGAGGCAGGAGGATGCTTGAGCCCAGGAGTTTGAGGTTGCTGTGAGCTAGGCTGAGGCCACGGCACTCTAGTCTAGGCAACAGAGTGAGACTCTGTCTCAAAAACAAAACAAAACAAAACAAAAACCATTACAAACAAATTTTAAAAAATCAGATTTTTCTTATCAAAGCCTAGTGGTTGTTTTCTTGTTTTTGTTTTTTGTGTATTTCTGCATTGTCTGACTATTTTAAAACAGGCACTTATAAATTGCTTTAAAATTTTTTTTAAAAGCCTACTTTAAATAGGTGCCGGCCACAACTGACACACTGAATAAATGATCAATGATACAAGCTTGCAAAGCTTTACTAGTGAATTTTTCGTATAAAGTCCAGATGTAACACTCATCCCTGATCAGCCCTTGGATGACAAACTGGCACAGGACAGTTTTCCTGTTTTATTGCTATCTGGAAGTCATAATGGAGTATCTCAGTAACAACTTCAGACTTGCGCCCTGGGATGAAAGAGTCTTGGGTATAAATCATCAGTACTTTCAATTATTCCCGTATAAACATCAAGACTTGATAATCACTTTTACACTGTCCCTTTTTGGCTTCCAACTTAAATGCAAGATATTTTTAAATCAAAACACGGTTTCTCAAGAACTTTTTACTCTGAAATGCCAACCACCACTAATCTCCACCTTGCTAACTTAATAACCAAAGGTACGATTACTTCCAGAATTGGGCAATAAACATGTTTTATCTCATGTCTATCCTACAATTGGAAAAAGAAAAAAAAAGGCGTGAGATTTTGTTAGTTGTCAGAACACGGCAACATCTGAGCCAGCAGTAGCAACTCTTTGTAAGCACGGAAGACATCAGTGATTCTCCTGATCACAAAACCTGAACTGCTGACAGTTTCCAGAGTAGGAAGAACATCCAATGATCCTGGAACAGGTTAAAACAAACTCACGACCCCCTATTTGAGAAATGATTACAGTGCCTGAGACATAGGATCATGGCATCTCCATGTCAATATCATGTCTCTACTGACACCATAAGTTCATTCCTTTAACTTGTAAACCTAAGCAATTTTTAAAATAAAAAAAGCTTTAAGGGTCTGAACGTAACTTAGATAATAATTCCTTTGCTTTTCAGAGATACGACATGTTAGATACTGTGAGTCCTGTCCTCGTATCTGGAGTGTGTAACTTGGAAATGACACACTTGCTCCAGGGCAAAGCAAAGGAATGCTGGGGCCAAGTTTTCAAAAGCCAACCTAATATGCCGGGCGTGGTGGCTCACGCCTGTAATCCTACCACTCTGAGAGGCTGAGGCAGGACCGAGGCGGGAGAATCACTTAAGGTCAGGAGTTTGAAACCAGCCTGAGCAAGAGCAAGACCCCATCTCTACTAAAAATAGAAAGAAACTATCTGGATAGCTAAAAATATATAGAAAAAATTAGCCGGGCATGGTGGCGCATGCCTGTAGTCCCAGCTACTCGGGAGGCTGAGGCAGGAGGATCGCTTGAGCCCAGGAGTTTGAGGTTGCTGTGAGCTAGGCTGACGCCACGGCACGGCACTCTAGCCCGGGCAACAGGGTGAGACTCTGTCTCATAAATAAATAAATAAAAACCAACTTAATAAAAACTGGCCTGGCAGAGTTGGGAGTGAGGAGGAGTGGAGATGGAGAGGCTAAAAATATAAATAATGAGGGCAATTAGTACCCATAATGGAGCTCAGCTAGCATTTTCCTAAAGAAAGTAACACTTGGCTATAGAATTTATAACATTTTAGTTTGACATTCTGGTTAAGATCGCACGCGGTTTCATAAAACAAGCAGG